TCGTTTCTGAGTTGTGCGAGTTAATATATACATACGTACGTACAGACGTCACGGAAAAATCCCTTCTGAATCCATTTTAAATCCACTTTACAATCCATTTTTGATAAAAGGTGCGCAGTAAAGTCATTATTTTGAGTGCTCGCGCAGACATCATGCAAATTAATTATTCAAAATACACATTTCTTTTGAAATGTGACACCCGAACGATACTTCCTTTACCTTGTACAAGGAAGCAAAAAAAAAAAAAAAAAAAAGAAAAGAAAAGAAAAGAGAGAGAGAAAATCGAAAAATACACTAAAATAAATGACTAATTTGACGTGCAACTGATTATTTCGCAAAGTTTTGATTTTGGAAATAGGTTTAATGAAATTTCAAATTTGGGTATAAATTTATAATATAATTAGCAATTAGTATCGGCATAAATTTATAGTATAATTAAAAAATTAGGTATTAGAAGACAATTATTGTTTTTGGACAATGTGTGATTTCGAAACGAAGACAACTTTAAAAAAAAGCCTTCCTCTACCCTGAAAAACCTAATCTTTCCAATTAAATGCAATTAAAATTTTAGTAGAGAGTGGTTAAATGCTTTTACTATACAAATTCTAACTATCTTGTTCGATTCATCTAATTCCTTATTAAAAATTGTTATACTTACTAGTATAATTTTTTATTTAAAGTTTGGTAAAGAAACTTTAGCCATAAAATTAATTTTGTTATAATTGCAACCTATGCATGAAAAATAATGTGTCACTCAGAATATAATTATTTTTAAACCAATACTCTTGGGTTCAGTGGTTATTCAGAGGAAGATGAATATATAATATAGCCTGCGCTTTGTCTATACTTGATCAAAACTAGCTGGCAAAATTTATTTGAATAACAATTCAAGTTTTAAAAATTGTTACAGAAACATTTCAAGTCAAATTAAACGTAGATTGTTATTTTAAGAGTTGAAATGAACAATCGCTAAACATGGAACACTAAGTTCTGTTCCCAAAATTAATAGTGTGCCACTCAATTCCGTCAAAGGGTCATTTTTGTGACCCAGGGGAATTAAAATTACAATAAACTTTTTTTTTATAAATATTTTTGTGAGTAGATAACAAAATTATATTTTCAAAATCTTTTTTTTAACAGTAGTCAATAAAATTTACCTCTCTAAAGATTTGACATAAAACGTTTAGCGAGTTTTATTCGATATTCGATCGGAATTCAAATATATTCGATTTTTCAGATTTTGAATCTTTTTCAATGAATTTCATGGAATGTAAATAAGGGGGACATTGATTGCATTAATAAATAATAATTGATTGCATTAATGAAATGTGGTTTTTTAAAGGGTATTTATATCCTTTATTTCTTTGCATATGTATTTTCCCATTTCTTTTCCTTATCGTATATAATTCTTCGCTATTTATTAAAGTCTGCTTCATCAGAACTTACAATAGCAAGAGAACTACATACAAACGATACGATACATAAAAACCCTCTCATAAAATAAATGCAATAGAGAATTTCAGCCATTAAAAGGCTAAAAATTCTAATTTTGTTTCATTATCAATACAATCTAGAAATGTCCTCTGCTGTTAAAAAATAGTTTAAAGTAATGAAAGGTCGTAATTTTTAATTTCTTTCAATAGTTCGTGTTCTGAATGAATGCAGACACCTCTTTTGAAAAGATTTATTCAGAATTTCAAATTAGATACTACAACGCAATGAAACTAAAAGCCATTGTATCAAATTTCTGCTTTTCTGCCAGCGATTTCCAATAGATTGGTGGTTGTCGAGACAGACATTTGCAATTCATTGCATAAAACATCTAAAAGAAACCTCTTGTCATTTAAAAAACATAAACAAGGCTTGTCAGTCAGGAAATTACTTAAAGGCAAGGTACAGGTGGTGTGGACCACTCCCGAAATATGAACCTCTAAGACATTCATATAAATTCTTTGGTGAGTCTAGCATATGAAGAGAACTGAAATAAGTGGACTTCTTGTCATAATATAAATACAAAAGTTCAAATGTAAAACTCAATGTAAATGTTAAAAAATATTTTCCGAGAAAAACAATACAAAGGAAGTTTCTTTCAAGGCAGTATGAAAAATTAAAGTAATGTTTGTAAAAAAAAAAAAAAAAAAAAAAAAAAAAACTGTGAAATATATTTACATCTTATTGTTTATGAATTTTCATGTTACACTTTGAAATATTTATACAATGTAATTATTTTGTTATTCTTGCCAATGAAAAGGAAAACTTTTAGCATCGAACATTTGGCTTTAAAAAGATTAACTTAAGACTAGGTTTTTCTTTTCTTTCCTTTTCTTAATGAAAGTATTGTACGTCTAACGTCGATCTGCAATCACTATTTATTGTTAGCGGTAAATTACATTTGAAGAAATTCCATGATATCGTACAGTTCCAGTTCATAATAAAAATTGAACCACACATAACGTACCAAATTTCGATATCTATACACACACACACATATATATATATGTAATAATAGAATTCCATAGTCAAGAATACACTTAAAATTCTAACTGTATGTTCTTTTCATTTTTAATGGCGACGGTCTATTATTTGAAAGTACGCGGAATTAAATCCACAGCCCCGTAGTCGTTTTTCCCGCCTTTTCTACACGTACAGTTATAGAATGTTCTGGAAATATTTAAAGCGAACTGGAATGGCTGACGTCATTTCTTGGAAGCTCCGCCTTTCCAGAGGCTATAAAAGAACTCGCAAAGGAATATCGGGGGCCTTTTCTTTAATGTAACGATGCAGTAAACTTCATACAAAAAGTTATTAGTAATTATTTTTATTTACTCCGGATATCTGATTTTGTAACTGCTATTACTCCTGAATAGTAATAAATGGATCCTGTTTTTTAAACTTATCGTCTGATAATTTACGCTACGACTACATCTATGATTCTTCACCGATCTATTTCTTCTGGACAAAAGCTGGTACCTCATATATATTACTCCAATTCGATTAATTCATTATTCAATATTGGGCCCACCAGCGGCCGAGCGGTAAAGTCGCTGAACACTGGTAGTTCGGTCTGAGGTTCGAATTCCGCGAACGGGCTGGCTGCATGGGTGTTTTCGTGGTTTTCCCCATGTGTAACGTGTATACGAGCCAGTTTCCCTTAGAAAGTCCTCCACGAAGCATCCCTCCCCTTAGGCAGATAGCCTTAGTGTGCTTTGCCATAATTAAATACACCACACCACACCATTATTCAATATTGTAATGCAAATAAGCAAATAACGAATTTAAAAGTTTATAATTATTTTATGTAGGGAAGGTTATTAAAATTACTGTAGTAATAATTAGAAATGACATTACTATTTTAAATTTTAAGTTTAAGAATTTTTGATTTATTTGAAATGTATGAGTTAATTTTACAGAAGTTTTTTGGAGTGGTATAGAAGTGTTCTGAATATAATTTCGAAATATGTAACGTTTAAAATATTGAGCATATTATGATGATATAAGACTACTAAAAAGAGAATAAATGCATGTAAGAGTATGATGAGGGAGTGCTGGTACAAAACAGAGGCCCTGTTTTTACCACTGTTATTTGTTTTTTTACCTTCATCATATCAGAAGATATAAACTTTGAAGGCTTCCACCTTATAATTTTTCATAGATATATTTTTTATAAATAAATGGCGTGTGGTTAATTTTTTTTTATAAATGGAATATATAGTGCAGTTCAAAAGGCCAGTTGCCTTTAAACAAGGAACGGAGGCCTTTATAAGCAACTGCCAGAAGCAACCCTTAACCACTCATAAAAATTAAGTACATGAGTTCGTTAAAGTGGTGAAGCTCAAATAGCTGGAAATGTTTGAATTAGAGAAAGCTGTGGGGTCTTCTAGTTTGTGTAAAATACGAAAATTATTAAATATTTTAATACAAAAACTATAATTTCAATAATGCTAATACAAATGATAAAGTATTACTTACAAATGTGAAAATTGGTGTAAATTTTAAGATTTATGATCATTAGTAATAACTATTGGGTATATAAAATTTTTATAATTGTGATATTGTGTGTAAAAATATTTGGGAATCCTTCCCTGAAGTATCAAAATTGTGATGTGAAAGTCTCATAAACAAGAAATGTCTACAGATTGGACTCTAAATCTCCATAGCACTCTAAAAATTATTATTGAACTCAAAATTTTACATATTATAATTTTATTGTTCGAAATCTAATATTATACTTTGTATGTTTCAAAATTACATATATATGCTACGATTTTAAAATGCGTAGATCAAAACATTGGAACTTTTAACTGCTTTTGATATCGTGTCATGGCAGAGAAGACCGTAGTGGCTGAAGGTAAGGCTGACTGTTAAAGCATAATGGTGCATTTAGCTAAACTGAGCTTGAAGAATCAAAATCTTCATTTCTTAACGCATATCAAATCATCCTTTTGCAGACAAAATATTTCTAAATTATAGTTGATTACAATAAATTTCTAGATGTTAATCAGTCCATCCTTTTCTTTTCTTAAATTTCCTAATTTCCAAATGGGAAAAACAAAAAACGGTTCCCATAAAAATTTATTCACAAACAAAGTGATTATTCGTATTGCAAAAATTTTATCTTTAGCTGAGTAAGAATAAAAATTAATCAAATGTACATCTTCTAATATCTGAATAAGTTTTGTATCCCACTATAAATTAATTAGCTCCATTTGTAAGTTTTCTGAAGATTTAATAACATTCGCTCTTAAAGGTAATACAAATAATCTAAAATCAGACTCCAGTTCATTAAAAATCTTTAAATCTCTCTTCAATTTCTCGTCTCAGTAATGCTGTTTATCTCATATACGCTTGCGTTTTTTAATATGAAATAACAAGATAGAGGACTTAAGATTTAAGAATTGTGAATTTTTTTTATTCCACTTTTGTTTTCCATAATGTAACTGAACTTTAAAAGCTTTAATACAAGCATACGTGTCGGTTATAAGTTTCTTCTTTCCTTGCAGCTCTTAATTGAAAATATTTAAATGGACAACTGAATCAACAAGAGATGCTGAGTATGTTATTCCTATATTCCCATTATGTAGCTAAGTTATGATTTTATTTATTTATTAATTTTGTTATGCCTGTGTGTGTGTGTCCTGAAAATTTTGATTTAGTTTACTAAATAAAAATCGTTTTATTAGTTTCTCTACTAACAACCTAGTATTAGTATATAAATCATCTCCACACGCACTAAGTTCCCCAAGCGATGCAACAAATTTCCAACGATTCAAAACTCGTCCATGGATGAAGTTTACTGTTTAGATACCGTTTCTGTAACATTATCCATCTGCAAACTTTCAGCACGAAGTGCTTTTTAGTCCATAATGAAATGTATAGCCCAAAAAGTATTCGGAACTTTTTCTTTTATCTCCATATTTCTTAATTTTACATCTACTCAATTGTTCCCAGCCATAGCAGCCCATACCTCTTCTTAATCGAGGCATTTAGAACTGGTTAGATTTATTTTAAATTCTGCAGTCTAATAAATTTCTCATTTGAATGCCTTTTTACATTGATGAAAATATGCCCTTTTATTATATATTTCCGATAAACTGAATACCGTTGAAAACGCCATGAGACCTCTACACATATAATAACTTCATAATATGCATAATAGCATATATAATAACTAAAAGATACATGATATTGTTATTGTTGCTGTCGTATATATGATAACGCCTATTCAAAAAGTGGGTGTCCGCCGGTAACATCGCGGCAAAAACATCGCGGACGAAAACGTCGCGGAGAAAACAACGCAAGGCGAAAACGTCGTGCTACAAAACATGCCGGGAGAAAACATCGCAAAGAGAAAACATCGCAGTTCTAAAACATCGTGGTACAAAACATCGTCGTCGAAAATAACGCAGTTCAAAAACTTCGCAGTTTAAAAACATCGTCGTCGAAAACATCGTGTAAAAATAAAGTATCACAAATCATCGCATGACGATAACATCGCAGATATGCTTTTCTCAGGTTTTAATAATTGTAAATGGATATTCCCATATGATTTGTGAGCGCAAGATGTAAGAAGGATTTTTTACTTTCACATTTTTTTATTAACTAATAACGAATTTTTGCTGAAAAAGTAAGAAGGAAATAAGCATAGAAACTAAATGCAACTTATAGATTATACTTTTCATGAAAAATTATCAGTGAAAACTTTACAAAAAATTATTTATTAATGGCCTTTGTTAGTTAACTATGTGGGTTTAAAATCTGTTAAGTGCTATAAGTTGAATTAATTTCTATGCTTAAGTTCCTTTTTATTTTCTCAGCAAAAATTTATTGATTAATAAAAATATGAAAGTAAAATTACCCTTCTTTCCATCTTGTGCTCACAAACATTACGGAATATCCATGTATAGTTATTAAAGCCTGAAAAAAGCATGTTTGCGATGTTATCGTCATGCGAATATTGTAGATACTTTATTTTTTACCACATATTTTCGACGACGATTTTTTAAACTGCGAAGTTTTTGAACCTCTTTATTTTCGACGACGATGTTTTGTACCACGATGTTTTAGAACTGCGATGTTTTCTCCCACGATGTTTTGTAGCACGACGTTTTCGCCTTGCGTTGTTTTTTCAGCGACGTTTTCATCTGCGATGTTTTTGCCGCGATGTTTTCGGCTGTAACCCAAAAAGTGACATGGGCGAAAATAGCAGCCCTGGCAATCTGCAAAATGTTATCATGACAGAGGTTTGATATCTTAAACAACACCCTATTTTTTAACTACTAAGCAAGGAGAAACGGGCAGTAAAAATGTATGCATTGGCAGTTCTATGTATAGGCAGTTATCACAATTGACTGTAGGTTTCTAAACCTCTCTGCCAATGTTTAATTCTCTGTGATGGCCACTTCTAAGTCTGACAGTAATTTTAGTTATAAGATGATGCCTCCATTGATGTTATAAAGATGATGCTTTGTTGCAATTGAAAGTTCTTTTAAGCTGTATTTGGCCATGGCATTTGCGTCCGAAGAGGGTGACATTTATGTTATTGTTAAGATTTCGCGCCTCTACTGCAGCTTATTTGCATTCACCTTGCCTGCGATGTAGACATGCTCTGGCAAACACTGAAGAACGCAGACCTTACCTAACTTTTAAAGCTCGTTTTGGCAAAAGTGAATCCTCCTGGTGATCAGGAAGCTTCTATCTAGGATTACTTGTAGAGCTGCCTTCGAGTCACAGAAGACAATGATTCCTTTTGTTTGTTCAGAAATGGAAAGGGATCTATTTATGCCAAGTTTCTCCGCTATTGCCACATTCTTGAAGTAAAGTTAGAAACTATAGCTCCAGCTCTAATTAATTTTATGCTGATAAGTAGTATCGCCTGGGGTACTTAGAAGTACTCCACAACCTCCATTAATGATTGTCTTACCAGATAAACCATCCATATGAACGTTTACAAAGTCCTCTTTTGGAAACTGTTCAACGGTCCTGATTTCTTTCGCTTTAAAAGATACGTATAAATCAATTCTTTTTTATTACATGGCTCTAGTACGTTGAGTACTATTTTAGAGTTCACAGGAAACCAGGAAAGAAATTTTGGCTGTGGAAGATGGAACATTTGTTGTGACCGAGGCTGAGAACTGCTTTAATATTTTTGTCCAGTTGCATAGGAGATGACCGTTCCAGTCTAGTGCTGCCATTATAGTTTTGAAAGGTATTCCTAACTATGTGTTCTGGCATATGGCTTCTTGCTTTATTTGCAAATTTTATTACATCATACTGCCCTCTTTTTCCGAGGCTTTCGAGTCCTAAATTACTTTTGAATTATTGGTGGAAGACACTGCACCTGTAATGATTTCTGTGGCCTTTGTCTGGACACTTTGTCAGGACACTTTGTTTTCCCAAGATAGTCATGTAAGCATGACCCCAAATGGGAGAAGCATACTCCATGATTGGTCTAATTATGAGGTGTGTATTGTTATAAGTGTCTTGAAAAAAGCTCCCCATCTTCTTCCGCAAAGACTTTTGATGGTTTTTAATATTTTCAAAGCTCTGTAAGTACAAGTTTTGACATACGCAGTGAATCTCAATTCTACATCTAAAGTAATTCCCAAATATTTGGGGCATGATTTCTCCACTGTTCATTTGCCTTCAATGTATAATTCTGGATTGATTAAATCTCTATGCTTCTATGAACACATAGTTTTAAGCTCTGTGTTCACCTTACGATCCCATTTAAGGATTTCTAGAGCACTGCTTCAGATTCATGAATATCCTTGCTGGAGTACCAGATCGCGATATAATAAGCTAATGTTGTTGCTGCTGTTTTCGAGTCCATATTTCACGTAAGCATAGGTACCAGAGCCGCAGAGATATTGGACCTCTACTTTCCACCCCAGGTTTGAGAGAGAGCACGTCGGTCGGAAGGTCTCCCATCCCTCTCCCCTAATAAAGACACACGCGAGGACTTTCGATTCGCCATATATTTAGAATGCAGCCATGCCATTTACAAACAAACATCCATGCCTTCAGTGCCCTGACCTTTTAGTACGGCATGCAAAGTTATTAACCACTTCCCGTCTCGATAGCATGATAAACTAATATATTTACTATATGAAAGTTACTTTGATGTATCAACTTGATACTCTTGCTTATTCTTAAATGTTTAAAATATGTTTTTTAATTTTTTTAAATTTTAACTTGTTTTTATTTTTAGGTTTGTTATTTGGTTTTGGATGATGTTGAGAGTATTTGACTAATGGAAAACTTGGTTGCCTTCCAAAGGAGTATACCGAATATAAGTTTTTCATCAGTTTATATTCATAAGTTTATATATTTCATAAGTTTCTGTTCATAAGTTTTTCATGGGTGCTTTCCTTGAGCTTTACAAGACAGATGAACAGGGAATCTCAGCCTAAGACACGTAAAAAGAAACACATGATGCATAACAGGTGATTATTTTGACTACTATTGTAAGGATCTTAAGTTTTACTAACGTTTATTTTATTTTAAATGTTTACTATCACTTCTTATTTTCTACTCCCGGCCAGAATTAAAAGCTTTAACTTATTTATGCAAATTTGTCTGGCGAACGCCAAGTACTTAAGTTGTGGCTTTTTGCCAAGCGAGAGAGAGGAAGGAGTTAGTAGAAGCAGGCCGCTTGCCTTAGCAGTTTTACTCGGTTGCTGGTTGCCTTCCAGGCCAGAGGTTTAATCCTCTTGATAATTTTAAACGTATTGTAGTGTTAACAGTTCTCTGTACTACATACGGCTTCCTGTTAATATACGGCCAATCTTCTCGGAGTCCCTTGTTTGTTACTCCAAAGTTAAGTTAGAGTTTAGTTAATATTTTTATATTCTTACGTTCAGACCACAAGTGGTTGGTCTCTGTATTCCGAAGTACGGAAATCATTGTAAAGAGTGAAAAATAAAGGGTTTCGTATACCCTTCCTGTGTATCTTGTCTACTTCCCACATTTATTGAACATAGCTTTAGTAAGCTCCCTGTTCCGAGTCAGGTTCTTGAATGTTCCCAAAGCAAGTAAGGCGGAGCATTGAACCTGATGCTATAAACTGGAGTCTACTTGGCAAGTCATTTAGGTCGGCAGGTACTTGACTTCAACAGTTCGCTGCGATACTTCATGTAAATGTTGTCCGGAATACTCTGCTAGATTCCTGTTCCTATTCTAGTATTCTACAGCTATATTTCATGTTAGGATCTCGTACATCACATTGCCGCACTACGTTGGAGAGGATCACAGCTAGTGGCCACGTCGATAACCAGGCCAGTCTCATACCGGGTTGGCACACGGAGAGGCCACACAGTTTTCACATACTTCTAGTCTTCTACCGCGGGATTATATAACTTTATCATTTTCGACAATGCGCAGATGCAAGGGGGAATGCAAATTTCCCAACAAGATTTAAACTCAAATTCTTATCTCAATGACTATATTCTAGGCCGTCGCGGTAAGTTAGTCAAATTACATTTTCTTCTGCTGAATGCGTCGGAGTTTTCATGGGTCTAGCTTAGTCCGTAGTTATATTTTAGAGTATCACTAAGAAATTCAGGATAGACAATCAGATGAAAGGACTTACCACAAATTTTTCTGAAAGTGCTCTCATCAATAAGGCATTCTAAATAAAATGAAACCTAAACCGAAGTAAAAAGTATGTGTATTTAATTTGTGTCGAAATAGCTGGTGATACTACTATTTTCAGAAGTGTCGCTTGGATGTTATTTGTACATTCGTATTACATATACACAAATAAAAGCCGTGTTTTTCTAAAATTCAATCTAGCATGCTTTTTGTTTTTGAGGCAACCAGATTCATGCAGATTTTTGGCTCACGAAGAATATTGGATTCGATTATACGTTAAAAATATCGATATAAGTTCCTATAGTAAATTCTGCATGGACATATTCTGAGCCTGAAAGTGAAGTTATAAAATTCAAAATCCTAAAATAAATTTTATGTATTGATGAATTTAAAAATTATTATATTCCTTATTCAGCTCTAATTGCGAGAAACTCTAATTGCGAGTTCGACAATCCAGAATGAACCTTGATTGTTTTTACATGTATTCCGATAAAAGAGTCAAAAACCGGTATTCTTAGAAATGGACATTATCAGCACTATAAAATAGTACAGATATTTCATGCTCTCTGAAATGTACCTTATTTTCTTTGCTTACTTTTTCTTTAAGAGTCTGATCGGAAGTTCTTACAAATACGAAAGAAAAATAGAGACCTGAACTTCGTCCCTGGAGAGATGAAAGGTTCGGGGTATCATATACCAAACCACGGTTACAGTTTCATACGACATATCGTAGCGTTAATCAGTAAAAGCCGACTCGACTGCAAGCAGTGTTGGCATATATATACTCTAGATAAAAAGAATGGCAGAAGATAACTGACGAGTCAATATTGGGACAGTCCTTAATGGAAATGTCAGACGGTCGCATCAACTTGGCTGTGCCCCAATCTTATCGACGCCCTTGGATGCCACGGCGCCCCGATAAAGAGAGGCCCAATCTTGACGGCGAGATTTTTCCGAATGCTCGCTTATGAATAAAACAAGGGGTGTCATGTTTCGCGGACACAGGGCAACCGATTGTTAGGGGATGCCGAAGTGAACGGATACCCAGTAAAGCAAACTCAGATGATTCTGCTGAGCTATCATTTCCACTGATGGGAAAAAAAAATTAGAAAACAGTAAGAAACTGGGTCTAACTGCTTTCTGATGAAAGACCATGTTGACATTTTGATAGTTTCGTTTTTTTGGATGATCGATTCCTTGCAAAACTGATTTCCAAGTTGCAATGGTTATTACCATTTAGATCTCAACGAGTCCTAGGCTGAAGAAACTTTGCTGTATTAAGATACTACAATATTAATATCACACATCCATTTTTACTTCCTTGTACGAAGTAAAAAGGAAGTATTGTAATCGAGAAAAGTTTCAGGCAGCATATTTCAACGAAAATATCCATTTTGACCGCTATCGAATGCAATTTAACGATGTTTTTGCGTGATATCTGTACGTAAGGACAGAATAAAATACTCTTTTCCTTCAAAAAATTATAAAACTGCTTTAAAATTAATTCTGAAGAGAATTTTCGTGGCGTCTGTACGAAAGTATGTACGTACGTGAGTTATGCGAGGTGCATAACTCAAAAACGAGTAGCGTCAGAACGTTGAAATTTTGTATATAGGCTATTATAATATGTAGATATGCACCTCGTATTTTGGTTGCAATCGGCCGCACCAAACGTATATAAATATATTTATATGTATATCCACTCTATTACTCGGTCAGTGATCTCAGTTTCTTTACTCTTATATGTTTGTAAATTGTACATTTTTTGCTTTAAAAATGATTGAATTATATTGTTTTTATCTTCCGGTTAAGGATTTTATGCCTTTAGTAAATCTGTGTGCAATATTTTTAGAAGTATCAGCAATTTTAAAGTTGTTTATTTGCCGCTAAGCCTGCTTTTAATGGCGGCCATTGATGTTTACATTTGAAACAGGAGACTAGTGGATTTGTTGCCAATCTAGAGAAACTTAGCTTCGCAACAACAAAGATAACGCATTCATTTATTATTGCCAATTAAATCATGCTTAATTCTTTCTGGAATGTTTTCGAGAAATAAGCGTTTGTTTACTTCGTAATTTTTAATATAGATATTTTGAGTTTTTATGTATTTTTGCCTTCTCGCGAAGTGAGAACTGAATTAATTCAATGAGAAATACTCTATCGTCTGTGAAAAACTGTTTCTTTTTTGTTTTCTTTGCTTAATTTCTTTTATACATCGTTCTAGATTTATTATAGTATTTGAATAGAACCTGTGGCAACGATTAAATAATTATTTAAATGATATACATTTTGTGCATTCTGAGTTATAATATGAATGAAATATAATACTGTTAAGTAAAACCTAGCGCCAGAGTGTCGCTATAGTAAACAAAGTGAATTTTAAAGAAAGCATTTATTCTATTGTGGTTTAAGCGCTGTCGGCGAAGTAGGTTTAATTCAATCTAATAAGTTTAAATAAAATGCGTATAATTTAATATTCCGTACAAGGAAGTCATGTGGTGTACAGATCAGATTTTTTTCTTTATCATTCAAGTATCAGTTCTTTCAATGCATGCTAATGCTTTAGTGACAAGCATAAATGCAAAAACCTAGTCTTTTACTAAAAATTGCCCAATGTATTAGCATTGTTGCTCTAATTTTGCAAAATGTATTTGGATCATACATTTCTTTTTGTGTTTAGATATAACTGAACTCCTTTGTCCTTTAACAAAAGTTATGCGAAATATCTCGATTTAAAAAATATTTTATGCTAATTTAATTAACTGTCAAGAATCTCCAAAGTCTTCCAGTTTCGAATTTTATAAAGAATTTTTCCTGGATGAGCGACGTAATTTAGTAATCATCTTTAAACTACACAAGCGAGCTTTTTAAACAGTCAAAAAATTGTGATAAAATAATTTTTTGATTTAAAAAAATATTATTTTATTTATTTATTTGAATAGTCCTAAGGGACAATTTGTCCAGAAGAACTATTAATCACAATAATATATAATCACAATTTGTGCAGAAGGACTCACGATAAGCGTTGATTCACTTTCCAAAATGTTGCCTCCAAATATTATCGTCCAGTATTATATTTAAAGAAATTAAATAATGAAACATCTGCATGAATGCATGTATGTTTCTCGCATTGTGATAAAACAACAGAACCTAGAGCCATCAAAATTTTAATAACGTAATCTTCCATAGAATATGGGCATGTGGAAACCCTAATTTGTATTTGAAATTTGTTTTATTGTGGATTTCATATTTTTAACACTTCAACGAATTTTGTATTAACAAATTAAATGGTTTCAAAGCGAGCAATGGCAACACTGTACCAAAAAAAAAAAAAAAAAATTATCTTCAGCGCGCGAGACTCTGTATTGGAAATTCTAAAGATACGCTCATTCTAAAATTACTTTTCGATATTGCTGTTGAACTAAATTTTATGTTTTGAGTATGTAGAACATGACATTTAATAAATAAAGGCAACACACAAAACGTTAAAAAACGTCACTTTGGACGTAATTTAAAATCTGAAACCTTTCAGATTGTTTTACTTTATTATTTTATTTACTTATTTTTTTAATGTTGGAACTTCCTTAGTGAAGTCATTCTAAAATTGTTGGTCCATTATACTGTGCTATCTGCTATTTGATATTTTTGTATCATCCAGTTTGTTTTAGCAAATGTTCCCAATATATATGGAACATGAAGTCTTTATTATCTTCCGAGCGATATCTTACGTTTTAAGTATTCAGAGTATTGCCATTTCGCAGAACATAAGACATTTTCCCATTTATTTAGTGCAAATTTTTATCAAAATGAAATTTAAAACCAATAGACGCATTTCTTTCTTTATACTCGCGTAAATTAAAATACATTTATTGCATAATATATCTAAGCGGTAATGTTTATAAGCATTTGCACCTTTTGCAATTAATAAAATATTTTATTAATTGCAAAATTTATGCAAATGTTCCATGTTGCATAAATGACACGGAACCTTTAAACTTCAGAGAAGTTTTATTTCGGAGAGTTTAACATTTAAAATGAAAAAAAAAAAAAAAGAAAATACAAAATTAATAAAGCCAAGGAAAAAATCTGAAAGCTTTCAGAGTTCATATTACAGCCAAAAGGGCATTTTTCTTAAAGTTTTGTGTGTTACCTTTCTTTTTAAACACCATTTTCTTTGCACTTAACACACCATACATAAAATTCAATTCAACAACAATATCGCAAGATATTTAAAATCATCATATCTTTAGAATTTCCGATATACAGTGTCGCGCGCTGGAAATAAAATATTTTTTTTTCGTACAGTGTTGCCATTGCTCACTTTGGAATAGTTGAGTTTGTTAATAAAAAATTCGTTAAAATTTTACAAAATTTTGAAATAGATAATAAAACAAATTCAGAATTCAAAATTCCTTCTTCCAAGTGCCCATGTTCCGTTTAAGGACATGGGCACTTGGAATGTTTTTCAATTTTCCGTTATTAAAAATTTCATGGCTCTACGTACCGTTGTTTTTTCACAACTCGAGAAATATTCATACATTTATGCAGTTTCTTCATTATTTAATTTCTTTAAATATAATACATGGCGATAATATTTGGTGGCAACAGTTTGAAAAATGAATCGACACAAAATGACATTTTGAAATTAATAGCCTATTGGGCTAATAATGAAAATAAAAAAAAAAAAAAAGAATACTTGTAAACTTTTTTATTCAAAATACTTTTGTTATAGAATTGTTATGCTTGAGGAAAAAATTATAAAGTGGCTTAGTGGCTTAGTCTTGCAGTTGGTTGACAAGCGTCTCGATATTGGGAACAACATTCCTGAGAAGTAATCGAAAATGATTTTCATATTTACAATAATAATTTTCAGACACGTTTGTGATTTGTGCTTAAACTATGGGCCAAGTCACAGACATCGTAGTGTTCGTATCCCTTGGTGATTTAAAGCAGTAAAAAGTTCAAAACATGTGTGAAAATGTGAAAATTCAAAATACATGTTTGAAATAACACTTTACTTGGAAATATATTCAGAAAATTATTTCTAACGTTTGTTAAAATATTGAAATCAAAATGAGATTTTTAGGAAAGGTATTTAAACATATTAATAATAATTTAACTCCAAATTTGGTAAAATGAATTTTTTCCAAAATTTTAATAAATTCAAAGTAGATGTTCTCTCTAATACAGTTACTTGAGATGTTCTCTCTAATACAGTTACTTGAGTAATTTTTCTAGCATACATACAGGGGTTGGACAAAAATATGGAAACACCTTTAAAAAAACATGTTTCTTTGCTTAATATGGTGTAGGAAACACGTTGGCATCCAAAACAGCTTGCAGTCTCCTCGGAATGGATAAATACAGTTCCTGTATGTTTGCCAAGGGAATATTATACCATTCTTCCTGCAAAACGGTGGCAAGTTCAGATAACGATGTTGGCGGTGGATAACGAGAACGCACTTTCCGTTCCAATGTAGACCACAAAGGTTCGATAATATTCAGGTCTGGTGATTGTGGTGGCCAGGGGAGATGGAGGACAACTCATCATCGTGCTCAGAAAACCAGTCCTGGACAACGTGAGCTGTGTGAACAGGGGCTTTGTCGTCTTGGAAGACACCATCACCATCGGGGAACAAAGTTTGTACCATGGGATGAACTTGATCGGCCAAAATGTTCACATAAGTCTTGGCAGTCATGTGCCCTGACACAGCTATCATGGGGCTAGCAGAGAGCCACGATATGGCTGCCCAAACCATAACAGAACCCCCGCCATGTTTCACTCTTGGCAACAAGCAGTCTGTATTATAGGCTTGAGATGGCGTTCTCGGCCAGAAGACTCGGCCAGAAGTGGGAAACAATGTGAAAGAAGACTCGTCAGACCATATTACTCGCTTACACTGCTCTATAGTCCAGGCTTTATGACTTAAACACCACCTTTTCCTGTTACGGGCATTAGCATCACTGATGAGTGGCTTCCCAATTGCAGCACGGCCAGCAATTCCCTGTTTATGAAGCTCCCTTCTAATTGTTTTGGTACTCACAGGGTTCGGTAACACAACATTCATTTCAGCAGTAACTTTGCAGCTGTGGTCTTCTTATTTTCGTCACAATTGCCCTTAATGATCGTCTGTCACAATCACTCGGGACACACTTTTCGTCCACGCTGTGATTTAGCAGATGATGTTTTTCCGCTTACAAATATGCGGAATAAATCTTCGATACAGTACCTCTTGAAACACTAAACACCCTCGGCTACCTTGCTTACGGAAGCACCTACCATACGTGCTCCAACAATTTGCCCACGTTCGAAGTCTGTTAACTCTGACATAATGCAATGACAACCTCACATAGCAGTACTCCGACAACAACTGAACTGTTTAGCACATTTACGAAGTTGTACAGGTGGCGTCAGTAGTCAAAAACGCCAGCGTCACCTACATATTTCATTAAAATCAATCTTTCTTTTCAAACATGCATTTCACAAGGTGTTTCCATATTTTTGTCCATCCACTGTATTTATGCGTTTAACCTCCTGTACTAAAAATAACAATAATTACATATGGAGTATGATAAAGACTTCTTTAATTTCAACTTTTGCGTGATCATTTTATCACACCCAGAACAAAAATAATCTGAAAACCACTACTAGACAACTACTTCAACATGCACTAGTCTCAATTATTTATTTTTTTTTTTTCAGAAATAAAATCAATATGTAATTTTTTTTCCATCTTGTTTAGTAGTTTTTGTCTTCCATCTTGTAAGTATAAAAGAAATGGCGAAGTAGTTTTTTGTCTAACCACTGACTCGAAAACCTTTTTATTGGAGTGGTATAAAATATTTTACAATGCGAAATTTAAAAAATAAATAGGTGGTTATGTGGATATTTGCTTTTTTACCTGCTCTTAATTTCTGAATAATAAGTAGCTAAACTTCGTATTATAAAAATTAAGTACTTATATCTTCACATAAAACATTTCTTTAAACGTTGAAATTTTTTCTTGTGAGTACATTACTTTGTAGAATTTTTATTAATTTCATTAATAATACCGCTAACTTTTGGTACAAAAGACGTTACCATTTTAAGTTTTTTACAATTTTTTTATCCTTTTGGTTTTCTGCATCTGGGAGCATTCCAGAATCTTCTTAAATTAAGCATATTAATGCATAATAAAATCAACCGCTATCTACTATAACAGAGATTTGGAAATGGCTATAAAATAGCTTTCTTTGTACTGAGGATATAAAAGTATCTCGTTAATACAGTTCATATTTTTCTTAATGTCTTAAGGCCACCAGTGGCCGAGCGGTAAAGTCGCTGAACACTGGTAGTTCGGTCCGAGTTTCAAATCAGGCGAACGGGCTGGCTGCATGTGCGTTTTCGTGGTTTTCCCCATGTGTAACGTGAATACGAGCCAGTTTCCCTTAGAAAGTCCTCCATGAAGGCATCCCTCCGTTTAGGCAGATAGCCTTCGTGTGCTTTGCCATAATTAAATAACCCAATCCAATCCTTAATATCTTAAGCAGTTTCATTAAATTAATAGTTAATAAAAGCTATGAAGGTATAGAATCGAATAACTAGATAGCTAATCGTATTAATGCTTGCAAAAATTATACATAATCATACATATATAGTATCTATAGAACTCAATATAATTTTATATGGAGATCACTTAATTAGTCATCACTAAAAATCTATGCGAAAAAAATTAAAGGTAGGAAAAATTAATAAGATCGTTTTCAAAATGATAAGTAATCATTAATGCTTTTAATATTTTACTTTTAGTTGGCTTTGCAGAGAAATGCTGAAGAATATTTTCAAGAAAATTGCATATATTATAAAATTAGCTAACAAGATAAAGAATCCAAGTGGCGAAGCAAATATAAAAAACAAAATTCTTACTTTGTAAAAAAGATGTTATGAAATGCTCAAAATGCTAAATTTAGTTTTGGTAGTATAAAATCTAGTAATATTTGCAATAAATCTTACAGTCATAAAATAAAAGGCATCAATAGAAAAAAACAGCATAAAATTCCAACGCATAAAACTGCATAAAGTTAACAAAGTATACCTTATACTAAATAACCACACTGTATAAAATACTATTTTCTAATACTGTATGAATCGTTTACCTTAGTACTGAACTCCGGTAATCTTTCTTTACAATTATTTAATACAAGTATGTATATTTGATACAAATCAAAGTTAATTTTTATTAGAAGAGAATTCTACTGAAGAATTCACCTTTCACAGCTAATTCTACTGAATGTTCGCAAAATATAGGGAAAAATATCTGTAATTTCTTTTAGCTTTCTGTATTTCCATTGAACATTCATTTTGAAGAAACAATTTACACAATGGGGAAACTTAATGGGGAAATAAGTTGAACTCATATATAGCTGCAATATTTCTATAGTCTGAGTCAAGTAAAAATCTGACCACAGAAGAGAAAATAAATGTTAAAAGAAAGATATGGCCATAAGATAAGATGGCTTGTCTCTCTTCAGGCTCAGATCAGGAGGAGATTGAAGAAGCCTGTACTTCATTAATCAAGGAAGTCTTTGTAAAGTGGATGGATGTCAAAACCTTCTGTCTAAAGAAGTTTAGGATAGCACGGGCAACATGCGGTCATGCATTTTCTTGTTGAAGGATGGCATCAAGAAAAAAAATCAAATATAGGGTACAGCCATGGGTCGTAACCCGTCAGAAATAAAACAGCAGCCGTCCACTTTACCGGTTATGTGAACAAGAGGCGATTGCGATGCGTAGCGACTCCTTCAATAACTGATTTGGATCCATTTACATTGATACATTCAGACATTTCTTATCATGAAAAAATAAAGGTATTATATGAAACTATCCATACTATAGCAGTAACATATAAAGGAAGCAAATTTGTCCTTCCCTCAAATTTAAGAGAACCTCTTTGTAAATCCTTCGACGCCTTCAAACAATTAGCTGAAGAAGGCCCAGATTTTGTACCTAAGCCTCCCACAACTGATACTGGTAGCAATACCTCGACTGTTATTTGTTGTGAACTTGCCCATCATAAACAGGCTTCAGATATCTCATTTCCTGTGCAAGATACAGTAAATTTGCCAACTCCACTCGCAGGCTATTCTTACGCTGCTGCAGTGCAGCATTCCATCCTTCCAGCAGCTCCTCAACCGACGTTGCTAATATATCCAAAACATACGACAACTAGTCGTAAATTGAAGGATAAACTTGCTAAGGAGTTCCCACTTCCAAAAATTGGAGCTCAGGTAACTGCTATACGTTCAATTAAAAAGGGTGGTCTTGCTGTTGTCTGTTCAACAGAGTCAGATAAGAAGAAACTAAAAGATACCTTAACATCTGAGAGAGCTTCCTCACTAGTTACTATCAAGCAACCAACATTAAAAAATCCTTTACTAGCCATTCATAACATTCCTACAGATCTTCCTCAAGAGGATTTAGGGGAAGCATTTCTTACTGAATTTGGTTTAGACACAGAGGACATAAAACCTCTTTTTCGATTAAAAGAAAAGAAAAATGTTAAGTGGATCTTCCAATGTAAGCCCGCAGCTTTCAATACAATTATGCGATACCCCAAACTCCATATTGGATGGCAGTCTCACAAAATCACAGAACATTTTAACATCAAGAGATGTTATAAATGTCAGCGATTTGGACATTTGCAGCGGGAATGTCGCGCAGCAACTTCTACTGCACGTACTGTGCCGGTGAACATGACTCCCGAGACTGTTCCTCGGATTTTGCAGCCTGCATCAATTGTCTCGACGACGCAAACAAGAATTCCAGAAACCCAGTCCCAGTTGATCATACCGCCAACTCCAACGCATGCTTTTGCTATCAGAAACAAGTCGAACGAATGCGCCAGAATACCACATATGTCTAAAGGTGCGACTTCAATGTATCACAGAGTGCTTTGTTCAATCATTTAGATTGCTTACAAATAAACATTGCAGAGATCTCGGGCAGCTACAGCACAGACAAATAGAATTTGCATTAAGAAATCAAATTATATTCATATTGGCCCAGGAGCCGTAATTAGAGACGGTCAGGTTTGGTTTTCCTCTTCTTTGGACAAACTTTTCTCCAAGGCAGACACTTTAGCACCTCCACGTGCAATTACAAAATTACAATTACAAAATTGCAAGGACAAAAATTTTTCAACATTCGCAAACTCATCTAATAGCATCTTCTACTTCGACTGAGCACCCAACACAAGACACAATAGAATCAATTTTAACCACCGTGTTTCCATCTGATGATCCTTCCACAGATTCTCAGTTCCAGACAGAAATTAGAAATAACTTAACAGTTCCTGATACTGCAGATGATCAAGATATAACTTTAGACGAAATTAAAACTACAATACGAAATCTTCCTAAAAAACGGGCGCCAGGGCCAGATGGAATTGATTATGTTATCATCCGAGCAACTATTAATTCTCATCCTTATTTCTTCAAGGACTTCTTCAACAAACTTTTCCATTTAGGACTTTTTCCTAGGGCTTTTAAAATTGGCAGAGTGGTCTTATTCCTAAAACAGGGTCGAGACCCACATAATCCTGCATCATACAGACCCATATGCTTACTCTCTGCATTGGGTAAGGTATATGAGAGAATAATTGTTTTACGCTTAAAACATCATTTGCATGTGCAAAACTTTTTGTCTGATAATCAGTTTGGTTTTCGACCTGGTAGATCCACTGTTCAGGTATTGTCAAAGATTGTTAATGATTTGCAATCTAATAGAATCAGTGGTCACCACAGCGCTTTCATTAGTATTGATCTTCAAAATGCTTTTGATACGCTGTGGTGGCCAGCAATTCTGGAATCATTAAGAAAAGCTCATTGCCCTAAGAATATATTCTTGGTATTTAGAAGTTATCTATCTGAACGAAAATTAATGTATTTAACTAACCGGGAAGTAATAACCAAGATACAAAATCGTGGCTGTCCCCAGGGTTCCTGTGCTGGCCCTGATTTGTGGAATGTAACATTTAATTATGTTCTATCCTCCACTTGGCCAGCACATACCCGTTTATATGCTTATGCTGATGACACAGCTTTTGTTGTCACAGGGCGAACAAGAGATGAACTGCAAATTAACTCCACAGAAACTTGTAATCTTTTTTATGAGTTATGTAATAATATCAAACTTACAATTTCCTCTTCAAAGTCAACCATTCTCCTTGTCCCAAAGAAAGGAAAATCTTTAAATCGACGACCGAGAATTACAATAAATGGTACCAGAATTGGTATTAAAAGGCAGCTCAAATTTCTCGGTATAGTATTTGATGAGAAATTAAATTGGATTTTGCATCTGCAGGAATTGAAAAGAAGAACAACTATCATTGCAACTAATCTTCGCCGTATGTATGGACACAATTGGGGTATTAGTCCGTACATACAAAAAATATTATATCAAACTGTAATCGAGAAGATGGTTATATATGCAGCTGCAGTCTGGGCCGACCCTATGCAGGGTCGTAAGGCCAGACTATTGCAAAGCTTACAACGACCCTTTGTATTACAGATTACCCGCGCTTTTTGTACAACTTCTTCTAATGCCTTGACTGTGCTTGCAGGCATTATTCCATTGCCTCTACGCACTCTACAGGAGGCAGCTTATCAAACAGTTCGCCAATTGCAGCAATCTGTAAATTTTCATGATGACATATTTCTTCCAACCAACTATGAAAAGCAAACACAGCATTTGGATAATCATCCTGCTCAACAAGGATATGGACTCAATGTCTTTTTGAAATGTGACAATTTGCCACAACTACCTCACTTACAGATATTCACTGATGGTTCGAAAATTGAGCAACAAACTGGTTGTGCCCTTGTGGCTTATCACAATGAAGACCAAATATTTAAATGGTTAGGACATCTTACTGCTGAAAACAGCGTTTTTCAAGCAGAAGCGATGGCTATTCTTAAAGCTGTTCAATATCTTAAACAAACCGGCGAGATGGAAGGTATAATAATAACGGATAGCCTTTCATCTCTTTTTGCAATTAAAAATCCAAGGCATTCTTCGCCTATTATCTCTGCCATTCAGCAGGAATTGCACATGTCCGGAAATTCTAAAATACTGATGGCCTGGACAAAAGGTCATGCAGATAACATTGGCAATATCCAAGCAGACTTCTTTGCAAAAATAGCTGCCCAAAAAAGTATTGATCATATTGGTGAAATTGAAAACCTAATGGTAAAACGGCCAATTTCGTATTTTAAAAAGGAAATTTTACTCAAGACTATTTCTGCGTGGCAAACAAACTGGGATGACTCCGACACAGGTCGTCGTACTTATTTTCATATTTCATATGTTGATATACATAGACAGGTTACCAATCATCATTTGGTACGTTATATTACAGGGCATGGACCCTATCCAGTTTACTATTATCGACATGGGATTTCAAATACTGATATGTGTGTATGTGGTGAACTTGGAAATCCTGAACATTATGTGACTCAGTGTCCTATTACACAAGATTATCACATTCCCATACCAAATACTAACACTCGTGCATTTTGTAAGTTTTTAATTAAACAAAAATACTTAGTTAAAAAACTGATCAAAATTATGGAAATACTTCATTCCTATGGTACTGACTTGTGCTTGGTAACATAATTTACAATTTTATTATATTGTACGCATACATGTTAGTGTTAATCTACTATTCCCATATGTCAACTTATCACATGCTTGGATTGGTATTTGTCTCATTGAATCTTCGTTGAATTTTGTTCAATAAGAATGTTTACATATATATATATATATATATATATATTTATCTTTGTTAGAAGTACCATTTGATATATGCATTTACTTTTCTATTAATATCTGGATTATTTTAGTATTTGAATTTGTATTGTTTAGATCTTATCGATTGTATTGGGTTGTTTTCTCGATATGTCTTTAACTTGTTATGCATTTATAATTATATCAGTATATATCTACTGACTGTATT